AAAACAACAATCTTTCAGAATTATCAAAACAACATGAAAAGAAGGTAGGAGAGGTACTCAGAGAAAATTATGTAAAAACATGGAGAAGGGAATTATTTAATGACAGCAGAATGAATGGAGCAACAAACAAACTAACTTCATACAGAAAATTTAAAACTACCTTCAATATGGAGAATTATTTAAATGATATAAAAAAATTAAAATTAAGGCGATTATTTTGCAAATTTAGAATTTCTAATCATAAACTACTCATTGAGACTGGCAGATAATTTTTTTAAATATATACAGGACAAAAAATCTGACTTCTTGAAAATGAATGAAGAAGAAAAATTTCGATTAATTATGACAAGCTTTGCAGGAATATAAACTGCACAATTCATACATACAAGTATGAACTTAAGAGATGGAACATAGTAACTCCATCAAATTAGTCTGCAGGTAGTTTTAATGCAATGGCATATTTAGTAGCTTAGTAGTTTTATTGTTATACTAATTTTCATGTTTTTTTTCTTCCATTCTTAGTTACATTTATTCAATGTTTTATTCGTGATTTTTGTGGAGTGAACTGTACTTCAGTTTTGCTTTGTCCTAAACAATAACATTAGCTTATGTTTTTTCCTCGTTCCATAATTATATGTATTTAATGTGCTATTTGTGATATTAGTTGTGTGAAGTATTATTTCTGTTTTTGTTTTACAACCATAAAACTAGTCTCTGTAGTAGATTTTCGTGTTGAATAAAATTATTATTATTATTATTATTATTATTATTATTTTATTTTATTATACATTTCTGTCCTCCCTATATTTTGTAAAATAGCTGAGAGAACCGTATATCGAGCCATGTATGCATATCTCGAAAACACGATTTAATTTTAGAAAAACACAAAACATTTTTGTTAAAAATAACGCCCCGAGCGATAGAATGTGAGAAATGCAAACCTTCTTCGATAGGATGAGGGCGTGCTCTAATTGGACCCGTATATGTGTTTCAGAAGGTTGAATAATTCATCGATCAATTCAAATTGTAAATAGAGTAGTGTATCGTCCTGAGCGTCGATCGTTTTAATTTTAGAAATCGGAATATTTATTTATTTTCAAACTTCGATCTCTTCATTCGTTGGAATACTGTGTGGCCTATGTACATGTAGAAGGAAAGTGGTAATGGAAACGGATTTTATCGGGAGTTCGTCGCCAACCAAGCGAAAGTGTTGCTTTGAATGGAGGTAAGTTTGAACACCATTGTCGATCAACAAAGCAGTCTACATCGCACATGTATACACACTCGGATTTATTATCAAGTTGAAGAAACGGCTGTGCATGATCATAATATGTACGATTTGTACTTTGTTTTAAGCAATGATGCTCCGAATAGCTTTTCAAACGGCCGCGATTTTTCTTTTACGATCACTCGATGCAAACACCCCGAGAGTAGACTTGCCCGCTAGTAGCAGCTGTTCACGCTCCTCTATTGTTACGCGATTGTGATGCGTCGTACGACGACGAGAAATTTAAATGGATGTTTACACATTCGTATAGTTTTGAGGATATGTATCAACTGGAATTACATTACGGGTAAATGTAACAACGATTAATTTGATACTTTGTAACATCTGATCAACACCAGTTTACGTTACACCATTACAGCTCCCTGGTTACACTTACAGTAGTGGTACCGCAGATACTCATCAACGCGTATAGCTGGTATTAAAACCATCGCTTCATCGCAAGTTGAAACAAAACAAAACAGACCTTACGTTTTCACGAAATAGAAAAAAACGCACAGAGAAGAAATGGCCGCATTTTAAGACGATTTTTTGTGTAAAATTAATTACTGCGAAAATCAGATCGTTAACGTGCAACGAAGCGACACATACATGACCTCCGATAGGTCACCACATTGAAAGCGAGAGTGATATGGAATCGCCGTACTATAACTAAACCACAAATGCATTTCCAGGCGTTTCCGGTGTTTCCGCGATCACAGATCGAAAATATACCATTATAATAGATTTATTTCCGAAATTTGGCTTCTTGTTTAATTAAAACGCAGTAAATATTGGGGTTGTACAGTAACAACTTGTGAATATGAATCATGCATACCATATTTGTTTCATATATGGGTGTGGCTCTGACCCAGTTTTGTATTTCCCATGATTTGATATCTAAATTATACAATAAAATATTAAACAATTAAACCATACAACTGGATATACATGTAGTAAAGAATAAAAACAAAATTCAAATAATGGAGAAAAATTATATTTAAGCAAATAATCAAAATATTACAATTAATTATTTATTTTACAACTTTATTATATTATCATTAATTAAATTAAAATATTAAAGTTTGATACAGAGCAATAGATAATATGATTCAAATCAGATCACTGATTCAATATCAGTGTCATTAATTAATAACCGCAGCAAGTGTTACATAGAGGCAAAACAAAATAAAGACTACATGTAATATTAATCATGTCTGGTTTATATTAATAAATTTTACTTACTCCGTTGACCACCATTAAAACATATCGCCATATTTCAGTGTTTTTTACCATATGACTTTATTTTATACTGGTGCTCACAAAATCCAAATCCCGTATTTGCTCTATTAGAAGCGCATCTCCAGTAGAGGTGCATATAAACCATCAAATGCTTAAATTTGTTGTTTTAACATTTTATGTTTCTCAAAGTTCGGTTAACAGTTAATTAAAATTCAAGCAATTAAATTTGAACGTTAAACAAAAATAAAAATCTATGTTGCCTGTAACTCGAAGTTCAGTTAACTGTTATTTAAAGTTTGAGTTACTAAAAAATATATATTGCCTGTAACTAATTGAAATTCTGTCAACTGTTGATTGAACATCGAGTTACAATTTGAATATGATTTCTTAAAAGTGAGCGTGGTTTCAAAACTATGGGCATGGTCATTTGCGTAACTTGATGTTTTCGTAACTCTATGTGTCGTAAGTCGATGTCCATAACTCCTAACAGTTCAGCATCTCCATAGTTTTTTTCTGAGAGTGATGTCTTACATTTTTGTAAAGATGGAATGCAACTTGAACAGGATTACAACAAAAGAACACATACAAATTCTGAGAAAAAAAATAAAACTATCTTTGATGCACTATAATGTTACAAATTAAAAATTGTGTAAATTTGCAGATTTTTAAATTGTGCTTATCACATTTTGTTAGTTTGGGAGTAAGTCAACAAGATCTTGAATTTATCAGATGTATGTTCGTATAGCATACATGCTTAGAAATAAAGGCACTTAATTTGAGCTTTGACAAATGATGTAAATATCACTTGGGTGTACAACTACAAAAATATGTTGCCATGGCAACAAAACTACTAACTGAGAAAACAGCTTGTGACTAATGCTGGAAAAATGAATGATAAATATTTTATAATATAATCATTTGTTATTTTTTTTTATCAATTGTTTCATGGGATAGTGCTCAATTTTATTCTTTTAGTGTACGATGTTTGCTCCAAATCACAATGATTTTTAAAAAAAGGCAACTGATTATTTCAAGTAATTGACCTTGACAATATGAATAATTTTTACCATAAACATAGTTATCGGATTCTATAGAAATCTGCAAGCTCTGGATAGCTTTCAGGTAGCACATAAAATAATTAAAATAAAACAATTGAGCAATCAGTGTGTCACTATGCGATTTGCATTTCTTATCTGTACTGTATTATGTAACACTGGGGATACGCATGTTAGGCATGTGACAGTATTCAGTAAAGGTGAATTTGTTGTCTAATTTATCAATTAATTGTTTCTATATGTTGAATGAAATTTTAACATAAAATTGATCTTACCATATTTGCTCTATTAGAAGTGCATCTCCAAGTAAGTCACATATATAAACCAAAACGTGTTTGATTTGGTCATATTATAAGTACACCGAAATCAAAATTAATTTTGGCTTTGTTAATTTTTATCTTGAGTTACAGTGTATATAGGCCCTTATAGCCATGCAGTACACATTTAAATTTCATGTAAATAAACAATATATATTTTACATGTGTTGTATACGTTGCATGGGACTCATATCAAACACGATACGATGTGATGACTCAACACTTTAAAGGGTGGTGGCCATTATTCGCAAGTGCACTGTCTGATGACCTCTGCCCTTAAAGTTATACATTTCTGATACTGTGAAATACTTTATTTTCGCTTGCGATTAATTTTCGCTGAAAGAATGATTCAGTGAAAATAAAATCCAGCGAATATACATTTTTTCCTATATATTACATTCAACTCGTCAGAAATCATTGAAAATAAATTCCATACAAAACACCCAAAAAGCCTTTTCAGCGAAAATTAATTCCAGCTAAAGTAAAGTATTTTACAGTAGAGCAAATTAATAAATCTTATCTTCTGTTTGATGTCACGCTTCAATCCAATCATTCGTTTGGTCTCTTTATCTCAGATGTGCGTAAACCGATGTAATCCTAACTTGGCAGAAAACCGATAATCACTAAAGTCAGTGACATTTCACATACTCCCATGTGCTTTTGTCTCGCAGTATAGTGGCTGACTTGCACCCCCCTCCCCTACAATTAGTCTGTGGCGTCAATCCAAGGTCATTCCCCTTTGGTGTTCAACCTGGAATTCATGAGCGGTTGCACTACGTTACCAGTGACCTTTGAAAAACTGTGGCCTTATTATTATTTTGGAAACAGTAGAAAATCATACAACTTAAAAATAAAATATAATAAATTAATATTATTTAAATGAAAGATTTTCAGAAAAAAAAATACTAACAGACATGTACAATTTTTTACTCTCTGCATATTGTTAGAAAATTAATTAATACAGGATTACTAAAAACCACTTCAAATTTTTATGAATTTCATGAGTTTGTGAAAATCAGAAAAACTTTGTGTGAAAATTTCCAGTAGCAAAAATCGAGCATGTTACAGTAGTACCTACTGTTAATTAATTTTCTAAATTTCAAAATTTTTTGTTTGTTCCAGGTTTGCATAATTACACAAGACCAATTTGGACAATGATGATACCACTTTCCAGATCAGTGTTGTTGCAGAATCCAACTATTCGGTTATCAAAAGTCGCAAAAGCCGCCATTATTTGTAAATCAAGGATACTTCCAGTGACTGTCACTCTTATCTCTCCATCATGAGATAATAAAAAAAAAACAATTTTTATATTTTTTTTTCAATCAAAAGATTAGTTTTATGTTGCAGCATGCGTCAAAGATGACACGCTTAATTGGATTTCTAAAATACGTCTTTCCACGAGTAGCAATTTTAGTTTTAGGTAAGTCGCAAGTTTTTTAATCGAGAGGAGATTAGTTTTGTGTTTAATAGTGTATGAGGTCATTGGAAGAGCTGTATTGCAAAGTATGTACTGTAAATGCATTAATTATTCACTGGGTTTTAACCTTTTCACCACCAGACTTTCTCACCAAAATTCTGCACTTTTTTATTATATTCTTCAATATTTCTAGAAATTAACCCTAATTTTGGAGCCAACAGACAAAATTTGAGACAAATTTTTATTTTTATTTAAAAAATTTGGCTATTTTTGTCCCAATCTTGAAAAGGAAAGTGCAATCTATAAATAAGACTATTTTGTGAATTTGTGATGAAAAAATGGAGTGATGGCAAAAATATTAATTTCGCTGATAAGTAAAATCTGCTAAATTAAATCTACGGGAACATGTGAAATAACAATAAAACTCATTGTTTTTTGGACACATTTGTGAAATTAAAACACAATGACTTAGCCCTGCGTACAGTGCTGTGTGTACGGGGACGTGTTCGGTTGATAGATGTCCCCCCCACCACAGCCCTGCGTACCTCCATAGACAAAGTCCGGGACTTTGAAAAATATAACTTTTTTAATGAAATAATATGCCCAGGTACCAAAAATGATGATCGATTACCAAATATATCCAGAACTCCCAGTTCGGAGTCCAATTGTGGATGAAATCG